GGACTCTTCAGACTATGAGAGGGGGAGGAGATGCAAGAGGGTCCAATACACCTACACTTAGGCATTGTCCTCCTCCCCCTTGACCCCCCTGCAACACCGGGGGCATCCCCGCCGCTTTGAAAGGGACAACCATAAGAGGGTCAAGTACCATGGGACCCACCCCTGCCTCTCCCCAGCGTTGCCACAAGGGGAGATGGGAGAAGTCAAAGGCACACAGCCATCGAGGAGAGCCATTTCTCGTGCTCCTCTAAGTCTATGGTCTCATCTGTGGGCTTAAGGAGACATGCTTGGCTACGCTCCTCAGGAATAACAGAGGAAGCAAAATCTCACATTGAGGAACTCCCATTCAACGCCAAGGGCATCTTCAACGAAAAGACAGATGACAAAATGGAAAACCTCCACACAATCAAAAAGACTGCAAAGTCATACACCATCCAGCAGCAGCCTAAATACCAGAGGTACCTGTGGCACCACCCTTATGGCCAGCAGCATTATCAAGCTACCTCATCTAATCAGGCCTACCGCCCCTACAGGCAGCAGGAAAACCCCAGGTCCTCCCAGCCACCCGCTGCAAGCGCTCCCTTTCGCCCTCAGCCAGCATCACACCGCAGATCATCCTACCACCCACCCGCGAAAAAACCGAAGCAGTACCTTTGACTCAAGCCGGTCGACATCCTCTCGGCTTGCCCCCTTCCTCCCAAATTGGCAATCCATAACAAACGACAAATGGGTGCTAAGCATAGTACAATTCGGCTATCGATTAGAATTCCTAAAACTTTCTCCCTTGGATCACATCCGATACACCTCATTCTCACCAGCCCTAGAAGAGATCACATCGCTCCTTCAAAAAGGAGCCATACAAAGAGTCTCACCACACGCAGTTCCGAGAGGTTTTTACTCTCGGTACTTTGAGGTACCCAAAAAGGGAGGAGGAATCAGGCCCATTTTAGACCTAAGGGACCTGAACGCCTACATCCACCTCCGACGCTTCCAGATGGTAACCTTGGAGAGGATTATCCACTTGCTATGTCAGGGAGACTGATTCATGGTAGTAGATCTGCAAGACGCCTATTTTCATATTTCAATTCATCCACACTACAGGAAATACCTCCGTTTTTTCTTGGAAAATTCTGCCTTTCAATTCTGTGCTCTCCCTTTTGGGCTATGCACAGCCTCACGCACCTTTACAGAATGCATGGCACCGGTGGCAGCTTTCCTACGCCTCGATGGTGTTTCCGTCTACCCATACATAGATGACTGGTTAATCGTCTCCAAATCCCGACACGATTTGATACGCGACACTGCCCTAGTCCTCAGCACGCTCCAAAATCTCGGGCTCCAAATCAACAAGAAGAAATCCCAGCTATCACCTACCCAGGTGATAGATTACATAGGAGCTCAGCTAAATTCCAAGAAAGCAAGGGTGTTCCTCACCCCAGAGCGTATCTCAAAGCTGCACAAGGCCATACATGCTTTTCTGCACCAGCCCATGGTGTCGGCACAGCAAGCCCAACACCTACTAGGACTAATGGCGTCTACCACTGCAGCACTTCCCCATGCACGCCTAAAAATGCAGTCCCTCCAAGCCTGGTTCTTAGCCCTATTTGACCCACTGAGGGACAGCGCACGCAAACGGCTTCCGGTCACGAGAGAATTGGTGAGACAGCTCGGATGGTGGACATCCCTCCCGCATCTCCTTGTAGGGCGACCATTTCGGCCCGTACACCTCTCCGCGCAAGTCACCACGGACGCCAGCCCCACATGCTAGGGAGCCCACTGTGAGGGACACACGGTACACGCTCTTTGGTCAGTGGAAGAGCGCCATCTGCACATAAACCATCTGGAGATGTGGGCCATGATAAAGGCTTTCTGCGCTTTCAGGACGCTGGTGCAAGGGCGTGGTGTCCAGGTCGTCACGGACAACACCACAACCATGCACTATATAAACAAGCAAGGAGGCACGAGGTCTTCAGCACTGCTCTACCTAACAGTGCGCCTTTGGGAGTGGTGTTACAAACACCACGTCTTCCCTGTGGCAATTCATATATCAACGGAAGAGAATGAACTAGCGGACTGGTTGAGCCGACTACCCAAGCAGACCCACGAGTGGGAGTTAGACACCTCAACCTTCAACATGATTTGCCAGAGGTGGGGAACCCAGATGATAGACGTCTTCGCCACACCACTGAACAAGAAATGCGAAACGTACTGTTCCCGGGCGGAGCGGGGACAGGTGTCATTAGGGGATGGTCTTATGGTGCCTTGGACACACCATTGTCTCTACCTTTTCCCTCCATTTCCCCTGGTGCAGAGAACACTAGTCAAAATACAACAGGACAGGGCCGATGCCATCTTGATTGCTCCGTGGTGGCCGTGTCAGCCCTGGTTCTCAACACTAAGGGACATGGCACTGGACTTCGTAAAGCTGCCTCTAACCCCGCACCCCCTGTCTCTGAATGCGGGGCAGGTGCTGCACCCAGACCTACCATCCCTGCATCTAACGGCCTGGAGGATCATACCTTAATCTACGAGGTCCTCAACCAGGCAAGGAAGCCTTCCACGACACGCCTATATTCCTATAAGTGGAAGAATTTCCTGCGCTTCACCGAGTCAAGGAACTTACAAGCCAGACCAACATCGCTCGATACACTGTTGCGCTACTTGCGCCATCTTTTTGATCAAGGTCTCTCACTGTCCACCCTGAAAGTGTATGTATCAGCAATAGTGTCCTTCCAACTGATGGAATCAGAGTCAGCTAGGCTGTTTTCACACCCAACAGTCAAGGCCTTCCTTCGGGGAGTCCTGAACCTACGCCCACCTATGAAATCACCCACACTGCAATGGTCCCTCCGGCTGGTGCTCAGAGCCCTCACAGGACCCCCCTTCGAACCCATGGCTACAACTAGCATCAAGCTTCTATCGCTCAAGACCCTATTCTTGGTAGCCATCATGTCAGCCAGACGGGCTAGCGAGCTCGCCGCCCTGCGTCATGACCCTCCTTACCTGCAGTTCTTCAAGGACAAGGTGGTCCTCTACCCTGACCCGTCCTTTCTCCCTAAAGTGGTCTCTAGCTTCCACCTAAACCAGCCAATTTCTCTTCCAGCCTACTTTCCCACCCCGTCATCCGAGTTGGAACGCTCCCTTCATTCTTTGGATGTTAGAAGGGCTCTCGCTTTCTACACAGCCAGGACTAAGGACATTCGAGCCTCCCCTAGACTCTTTGTCTGCTTCTACAGCCTGCGGAAAGGCGCCGTGGCAGCGCCATCTACGCTGTCTAGGTGGATTGTTTCCACCATTGAACTAGCATACCAGCTACAGGGCAGATTTCCCCCTCAGGGCCTCAGAGCTCACTCCACCAGAACAGTGGCGGCATCCACGGCCTTGTCGAGAGGGCTAGACTTCCCGGAGATCTGTAAAGCAGCAACCTGGTCCACGGCGTCCACTTTCATCACGCATTATAGGCTGGACCTTCGGGTCAAGAACGACTACGCCTTTGGGAGAGCTGTCCTAGCTTCGGTGCTAGAGTGACAGCCCTCCATCCGGTAAGCGAGCTAGTCAGTCACCCAGCAGTGTAATTCACAGAGACCACACTTGAAGAAAGGCAGGTTGCTTACCTGTAACGTTAGTTCTTCAAGTGGGTCTCTGTGAATTCACACTTACCCACCCTGGCTCCCCTTTATCCGTCACTCTCAACTACCGCTCTGCTTAGAACAGGGTGGCAGATAAAATGGAACTGGCGCGAGGCGGGCGGGACATGCACAATACGGGATGACACCCCTTCCTTCTTTGTTTCCTAGAAGATCTAGAAAGCTCTGAGGTTCCCTGCACAGGCGCAGACAATACCCAGCAGTGTGAATTCACAGAGATCCACTTGAAGAACTAACGTTACAGGAAAGTAACCTGCCTTTTCTGTGTTTTGTTGTCAGTGAAAGCAATGGCTTTTCATGCCTCTAAAATCTTGTGTACAATATGACCACCATATCCATGGGATCAGTACCTGCAGTTTCAGTTATTTGCTGCCTGAAAATATTAAGTTAAAAAAACCCAGAAATACAGGTTTCCAAGGTGTATTACCAGACCTTGCCACTAGAGTGAACCAGAGACTCTGTTTTATATATATATAAAAAGTCTCAGTAGACTTTTCCAAAACTAAAATGTAATCTGACAAATATACTGTAGGTTTCAAACAACTCTTTCCTGCTTCAATTCTTGGGAGTTATACCTATTAGCTAATCTTTATGTTACAGCAATGTAGCTGTATACTAAGACTACTTCCCTGCCCCTTCCTCCTATAATAGCTTATTAGATAGTAGCAGAAAGTTTGCAAATCATATTTGGGAATGGAACCTTATTTTCAAAAAGTATTGGTGTATCAAGCAAGTGAAAGTGCTAGCTTCTTCAAGTATCATCTGCCTCTTTGCTATTTGTCTCTTCTGTAGCCATGATTCTCAACTTTTCATATTCCAAATGTTTGGGCTTTCAACTGTTAAACATCTTAGCTATTGTCTCTAATAGGTATTTTGGAAGTTGAAATTGAAATCTGTAACATCTGGAGTCAGTAAAAAGGTTCTATCAGGGCAGATGAAGCACTGCATTATGTGAAACTGAGGATATTCCCAGTCTGATCTCTCCTGCCTGTCTGAAATGGAAGGTTATGTTCACTTCTTGTTGAACTCCCAACCTCACTTTGTGTTTGGGGGTGGGTGAGAAAGAAATGAGAGTATAAATGTGGCTAGTCATGCCTATGGTGATTTGAATATTAGCTTAAACTGTTCCATAGATCACAGCCTAAATAGAGTGCTTGCATTTCCCTTTTCAAAACAGTATAAACATACAGTTTTAAACTAGGGTAGAGGTTTTTTGTGTTGTTGCTTCAATGTATATTCACAGTTGCAAGCAATGTATTTTTAAACATTCATGTTGCAACTAGAACACAAGATTAGAAGAAATCTTCTATTTTTATTACTGTATTTCCTAATGCAATCCCTTTTTTCTAATAGTCTTTTAAAGAAGGAAAAGACAGATTTGCTGCGCGTCAAGAATCAAATGGCAGCAGATTTAGAAAAACTTCTAAATCAACGTGAGGTAATATTTGTTGTTATATAGATAGGTATTACCATAGATGTGTTTCTCCAGTATTTTAATCATGGGAATGTTTCATTATTATTTTTTTAGCTTACTATAGAAATGCTTTAAAGAGATGCCTGAGAAATTCTCTTGTACTGCATATCCTAGATCCTTCCCCTTTCTCTATTTTTATTTATTTATTTAAAATATTTATACTCTATCTTTCTCCTCATGAGGACCCAAGGCAGATTACAGTATTATAACAAACAATACAGTATTTAAAATGGTTTTAATATTTAATTTTTTGCTTGGGTAATGTATTTCCTGTCCTAGAGTACTACTGCTCTGTGGGCTGCCGGGATGACACAGCTTTGTTCTCTTCAGCATAACTTGGAAACCAAGAAGCTATGAGTCACACTACAGTTTATTAATACCTAGACAAGCCTTAGGTTCATATGCTAACCCCCTTCTCCAGCCTGATCAAATAATTAATAGAAGCAGTGCCACTGAAAGTGTAGAAGGAAAGGGATGAGGGCAGAAGACTGAAGCTTGGTGAGTCTCCTTCCCTATAGCTTAGCATTCTGTGTGAACAGGGTCATTCCCTCACTTTCCAGATTTGTGTATCCTGAAATTACCAAAGTAGGAGGAAGACTACCAGCAGGGTAAAGTAGGCAAATAAACTATCTGCTTCTTCTGTACTGTTCTAACCTTATAACGTTCTGGGCAAAAGTGGGAAAGAGGTGCCTAGGATTGGTTGGAATTTGGGAAGGACCCCTTTTACTTGCTTCCATCAGTAGAAAACATTCCGTTTCTTATGCTCAAGTAAGGGACTGCAGTGATGTGAGTCTCATGCATATGACAAATATGGTATTTGATATTTTTACAACTTTCTTGGTGTTACTTCACTTGAATAATTAAATTAGAAGTAGTAACATCTCTGCTTCTAATTTCTTCCCCTTTTTAGTTATTATATTACATTTTACCTGGCTTTAAAAATTAATTCTAACTATAACCGTTGGCAAAGTGCTTCCAGATGCTATAGTGAAAAGCTCTATTACTTTACAAAAACCTGTTCTTTATAGCAAGAACTCTTTGTACATTAATTTCTATTAAATGCCACCAGCTGTCTTTTAACACATTTGTTCGAAGCCTTTGTCTTGGAGAATGTGTAATGAATTTTTAAGTTATGAATTACATGCTATTTAAGAGGTATGTTACTACCTACTCTAGGTAGATTATACCTTTTATTGTCTTCTTAATACATGGTGTCAGACACTGTTAACAGAAGACTCATTTATTTCACCTTCGTAAAAAAACTGTTTCTCAAGAAGCAGTATTTAAATGTATATGCAAAGGTGAAGATGACCACCACTGTATGTATAATAATGAAATAATATAAACTGTTTATAATTTCCAAGTTTCTCCCACACAAGCAAGTATATGCCGGTTTCATACTTATTGTACAAATATTTTATGAAATTGTTCTCAGCGATGTTAACTATGACAAATTAACTTCATTTATTTGATGTCCCTTTCCAAAACTTCTCCCACAAAACTGTGAAGTCCCTTTCCCTACATTATGTCAGCATCTGGGTGGCGGCAGGGCCTTGGCAGCTGCAGGATTGGGGCCAGCTTGGTCCCAGGAAGAGCCAGTGTTGGCAGAATCAGGTCCGGCCAGGTCCCATGAGGTCCACCTGAGAGTCCTGAGGGAAGGCCTACTTTGGAGCGATGTAGATCTGCTTTTTCCAATTAATTCTAGGCCCAACAGCTTCACTGTATACAAAAGTGCAAGGCTTGGGAATTCAGTATCTGACCAATCCTCCTCCTATATATACCTAACAGTGTGTTAAAGTCATCTACTGTATAGAGACCCTCCATTGAGCATTCACACAATTTGACGTTTGGAAGGTGGCTTTATGAGTGAGAGTTTTAAAAAATAATGACTCCTGGGTATTGAATTCTCTATTTAAGGAAGCTCATTTGCCACTTACAGTGATATCCATCCATTATCAGTGGTTATTTTTCTAGGACTTTAAATATCTTGTTACTGTACTTTGGACTCTGTGGCATTGCTGGGAGTTTATGCTCATGTACCTCTGAAGGCTTTTAACTGTTATGATTCAGACTGTATTTTACTGCATTACAGATGTATTGAGGTCTTCATGTTGTTTTTTATTTTAAGGATTTACTGTTGAATTTTAAAAATTGTGTTACTGTCATGCTTTTAAATGATTCTGTACAATGGTTATGCAATTTTTGTATGCCTAGTTTCTGAAAAATATAATTAAAAATGAGAAAAACTGATGACAAAATCTTACAACAAGAGTCAATAATCCCCCATATAAGGTAGTAAGGCAGATGGACATCAGTGCTTTTTCATCACTATATCCTTATGTGCAGACACACACACACACCGCAAGCTCACTCCAGTGACCTGGAGTTTGATCCTGAATCTCCAAAGGCCCCTTCAAATATTCTAAGTATTACTCCTTCACAAAGGGTGTATGAAGAATGTGGAAGCCAAAGTCTGGGTGCCTCCACATGCAATGTTCAGGGATTGTTCTGTTCCCTTATAACAACCCATAGGTTGATTTTTCTAGGCCCCACAGCAAAAGCCTGTGCAGAAAGTGAAAGTGTATAAATAATGCTTCTTCATTTTTCTGGGGCAGAATGGTTAAAAACTACAGTGTTTTGTTCGAAGCATTGTCAAAAAGATTTCAGTATCTGCCTCAGGAGCACCTACATATGCAGTGGATGCAAAACAATAGCCCACGCCAGAAATCTGAAAAGAAATTTCAAGTTTCATTTTTTTAAAAAAAGTACTGTAATAGTAAATTGCAACTAGAGGAAGCCATTTTGAATCAACATAACATAAGGAGGAACTGATTCACTGAATCCCCAATGATTCAGTATGCCTGTTTCACTGTCTCTTGTTGATTCAGCACCTACTTTTCAGCCATGTCTCCTGAGCCAACCTGCCAGCTACCTGTTGTGTATGATTTATTTACTGCTTGACCGTGCTTTGAGTTCTGATAATTTTTTAAAAAACTGGACTGGTTTGGCTTGTGATTGCTCTTGGACTTTGCACATGAATTTTCTGTAGGATTCTGTTTGCTATTCATCTACATTACCTTAAACCCAATGTTGTACTTGCCTAGCTGAGTTTATCTTGTGCTTCAGACCACCAAGACCATGTTTTTAGGACCAGCTCATCTGAGAGCAGGACAATCTCAGAGCCAATATGTAATTTATATAATATTTCTGAATAATACAAAGACCATATGATGAAGCAGAAGAACTGTGAATCGAAACAAGATAATGAAAAGAAAAGTCTTAATGGGTGACTGATGTTGGAGGCATTTAGGAGACAAAGGGAACTGTTACAGTGATTAGTACAAACCATTAGACAAGAACAACAAAGAAGGGGGAAAATCAGGATATCTTCCATAAAATACAAGAACCCAAAGGAAAATTTAAATCAAGATTAAGGTAAAGGTTCCCCTTGACATTTAGTCCAGTCATCTTCCACTCTAGTGCGCTGTGCTCATCCCCGTTTCCAAGCCGTAGAGCCAGCATTTGTCCGAAGACCATTTCTGTGGTCACATGGCCAGTGCAGCTAGACACGGAAGGCCATTACCTTCCCACCGTGGTGGTACCTATTTATCTACTCGCATTTGCATGCTTTTGAACTGCTAGGTTGGCAGGAGCTGGGACAAGTGATGGGAACTCACTCTGCTGCATGGATTTGATCTTATGACTTCTGGTGTTCCGACTTTGCAGCACAAAGGCTTCTATGGTTTAATCTGCAGTGCCACCACCTCCCTTTTAAAATCAAGATTAGGGGTGCTGAAAGATCAAGAGGGGGTTATATTATCTAATCTGGATAAAATGAAAGAGAAGATAGAAGCAATAAACCAAAGAATTACATAAAAGACCCCTGTTAGTGGTGATGGGGCGGTCAATTGGTAGCAGCCCAGCCAACCCCTTCTCCTGGCATATCGGTTCCATGTGGTGGCCAGGGAGGGTGCTGGGTTATGTCAGGAGACTGGCATGGGTCAGGGGAGGACTGTGTGTATTAATCAAATATTGATGCTTTGTAGTTGCATTTTGGTGGGCATAAGAGTTATACGTGGATACAGTGCCCCTAACCCCAGCATTGTTGAAGGGAGACATGTATGAGAACTTTGAATTAATTTCCCTTGCAATCAAAAGGACACTCATCCAATATTTCTTTTTCTTTTATGTCAAGGATTTAAGCTGAATTCAGAAAAGGGAGAGACACTCGAGATCCTGATGATGGGTCCTATGAAATTCTGAAATTTGTATACTGCATTTGGATCACTACCAAGAGGAACAGGGCTGTTTATTTGCTCTGCGACTTCTGTTGCTGTGATCTACATTTGATCTAATCAGTGGTGCACCTCTAGGGGGAAAAGGTTTGAGACTTATCTCTTCTGATTCTGAGATCACGTGGAAAATAGAGAGGTTTACCAGCTCTTGCTAAACCTGCCTCTCCTTTTATTATCATAAAACAGCATTGTTCTTAGCCATGATTAAATTGGTGAACATTTTAGAAGATTTTTTTACTTGAAACATTAGAGTAGAAGACATGTTTGGAGTTCAGTGGCAGCTGAAAATGTTATCCTGCTAACCATAAATATTGTTGCTAGTTTTCTGTTTTGTGAGGAAATACCCAGCATCTTTGTATGTTGATTTTGTTTTTAGAAGATCAAAAACAGGCTGGCTGGTTAAACTCATCAGTTACATTTCTCCCCCAGCTCTTTTTTTGGGGGGGGGAGAGAAGGAGGAGGGGATTGCAGAATTCTGTTTTAAAAGATATTAGACAAAATAGAAAATAAAACTAAAAACGAGAGAGAGAGAGAGAGAGAGAGAGAGAGAGAGAAGGAGGAGGGGATTGCAGAATTCTGTTTTAAAAGATATTAGACAAAATAGAAAACAAAACTAAAAACGAGAGAGAGAGATGCTGTGGCACCTTAAAGACTGACTGGTGTATTTAA